GGGGTGCTGCGAGCCTCGCCCGCCTGCCTCCAAGTGCAGCGTGGTAAGTCGCAGCTCGAATAATCCTCCTCGTTGTTTGCGCAGGCATTGCTCTGGTATTTGCCTAGCGCGGATCGCCGCCGAGGAAAGCTGGGCGCTAACGCATTCCTGAGTGGCTTTTGTTGTTTTTTTTCCTTCCCGAACTCGTTTTCCGAAGTTTAGCCCCCGAGTCGGCAGCGAGAGGCAGCGTGTGAGAGACTCTCGGCGCCCAGGCGAACCTCCCGCCGGCTTCCCCGGGAGTTTGGGCTCCTGTGCTGCATGTGGAGCAATGTGCGTGAGGTGGCACGGAGCTGGAGAGGCTGTGGGACAGGTTGGATCGCTAGAGCAGGGTCCTAAGGAGTCTGAGGAGCGAAAAACCTTTCCCTTGGCGTGCATGGGTGGACATCTTCCTCTCTCTCCACTCCCAAAATAACTTAACAAATCTGTTCCTAGGAATCAAAATATGCAGAGGTGGCAAGTTTAAAAAAAAAAAAACAAAACAACAAACAAACCACAGAACAACAAACAAATATGTAACGTATTTTGACAACTAGTATGTTTGTTTGCTGTCAGTTCTGTCAGACAACTGATTGATAAGAAATTTAATGTAATTTTATTTCCTAGCTATCCATTTAAGTTCCTGCAGCTCTTACAGGTAGGCTTGGAGGAACCTATTTGGATGAGATTATTTCTTGTGCTGGCAAGAATGTTAGCAGATGAGAACTCATGAGTGGGAGAGTAGAAGTAGGAATAGGTGGAAATTAAAATCTGTATTGGCCTCATATGTGCTTCTTCCTGATACCTGCAGGAAGAGATCCTGCAGCTGAACTGGATTCTTGTTAAAAAACTATTAATTTTTTTTAAATCCCTCATCTGTATTTCTTCATTTCAGTTGATCTTGACAGGGGGATTATACTTGGGCGATGTGGAGAATTACAACTCAGGCATATACTTGTACTGTATATTAATGTGTATGGGAACTGAAAACCCTAAAGGATCTCTAACAGCACTTCTTTGTTTAATTTGTGGCTAACTTTCAGCAGGGCAGTCCGAGGAAAGTCGAGTCGTTTGCTTGTCCATGAAGGCACCTGTAATGAAAGTGTCTGTCAATTTGTGCGTGCGTTCAGCAGCCTGGCTACATCGTTTTTCTGTAACGCAGAGGGAGCTGCTATGAAGCTTTCATGTTTTATTCCAATATTGTGAGTGGTGAAAGGGAGGATGCTTTCTGCCATGCGCTGGGACATGTAATTTGTGTTACAGATGAGTTAAGTAATGTGAGGCGAGATCATCCTCACCCAAGGTGATTAAATCCTTAGCCCAGCAAACAAGCTGTAGCAACTAAACTAAAATGATCATCGTACCAGTTTTCCAATGCTCTCTGTGAATTTGCTAAATTAATAACAGCAGATAGAAAGGCAAAAGACTGAGCGTGGGAAACCAGCTATTAACAGGCTGGAGGATCTCATTAAGGAAAGGAATAAAGTCATTTTGCCTGTGTTCTGGGGTTGCTCCCAGACCACTTGTGCTGTGCCAGGTACTGGCTGCCGGTGGCAGAGTGCCGGCTGGTCCCGCAGTGCTGGTTCCCCTTTCTTCCAGCTGTTACAGCCATGCTGTGAGTCCCTCAGCTGTTGCTCTGCTTTGTGAGGTGGTGCCCTCCTGGCTGCGGGAGGGTGGCGTGTTGGCAAGAACGGAAGTGGTACATAAGAAATCTTCGCATTTAATCACCGGTCAGGCTGTAACAGAGTTCGAGAGCAACAGGGCTGCTTACTTCGCAGTGCTCTGGGTTTCACAACTGGCATTTTTCCGTCTGGCTCTGAGGACTAATGAGGCATCCTGTGAGAAGTTGACCAGACGGTGAACTGGGTGAAGTTGTAACGTATTGTGGTACATGGCTGTGCAAGAGCAGCGGAGTGATAGAGCCATTTGTTTCTGAAGGATGTGGAGGCCACTGCCAGGGCATAATATTGAACTAGGCTAGACCTGTTCTGGTCTGTCAGTCCTGTGCCACTGCATAGGAAATGGCCACTCTCCCTAACAAAACTAGTTTTACATTTATTTCCCACCTTCTTGCTTTCCCACAGTCTCCTTTGATCCTCTGGTTCCTCCTTATATGCCTTTCTTTCTTAAATGCGCTTATATAGTTGGCTTCCGTGCTTTCTCATGGTAACACATTCCATATATTCGCTTCTGCTTGAGGGAAACACTCCCCATCCACCCACACATGTAACAGTGCTTCGGGCCAAATTCTGATCGCTTCTGTGTCAATGTAAACCTGAGCAGCTCCACCAATTCTGGCCCTGCTGCTTTGGGGTCACAGCTATATAGGTCTGAGTATAATGTGGTCCTTTGGCTGGACTGAAGGATCAGGGAGGCTCGTTTGAGCACACGCCCACATCACATGACAGAAATATCTGTTCTGTAAACAGTTCTGCTCCTCGGTGAGGTGTGCTGTGGAATAGGCTGTGCTTTCACGGGTTTTGCAAATTGCAGAGAAGCTTTCTGTAATGCAGAGGAACAGTGTACGCTGAATAACGAGACATAATTGATTCTTTCTCGTATCCCAGCTCTTTACAAATGCATACAATGGAGCAAGCACAATGATTCTTAGCAGCACAGGAACACCGTAGCTGAAATTCAAGCCTGGGGAAAAGAGGGAGGTGTGGTACCATGTCGAGCGAATGTGCTTAGCACTGCTGGATCACTGAAACGACGAAACTCCCACCGTTTCTGTCTGGCTCTGCCTAGGCACTGCTCTGGGGAAGCTTACCCTGCTGTTACATGAGTTGGAAAAAGCCCCGTGTATGGACTGAGCCACTACTTTCTCCAGCAATAGTGCTTTCAGTGCTTGCCTTTGACTGTCGCTTAGCAGACGTAGTAGAGCAGTGCCGAGACTAACAGACCCCTCTGCAGTGTGTGCTGGTAGGGTATGTAATTCCAGACCACCAACCTGGAGTAATTTGCTGTACTCCAACCCCCCTTCTTCTGGGGGTGGGGCGGAGTAGTATTTTTTTTTTTTAGGTATGAAATTTACAGGATCTCCAATCAAATTAAAGGTGTCCCAGGGTCAACCCGTCAAACTAAATTGCAGCCTTGAGGGAATGGAAGATCCCGAGATGTTGTGGATCAAGGACGGAGCAGTGGTGCAAAGCGTAGACCAGGTGTACATTCCAGTAGATGAAGAACACTGGATCGGCTTCCTCAGGTACAACAGATGCAGAGAAGGAAGAATATCGCGGAAACTATCGCAGAGTTTTCTGCTGTCAGCTATATCTATGCAACTGCAGTGCCCTTGGCAGGGCAGGGTCCTTAGGTCTGCGATTCAGCACATGGCAAGGGCATAACTGAGAGCAGAATTGAAGCCACTGAGGGCTGAGATTTTAGGCACTAGAACCATGTTGGTTTCCTGACTACGGTGGTGACAGGTGCTTTGCTAATACTTGATGCTTGAGACGTGACTTCAAGGTGAAAGGATGTTCTTGCCTTGTTTGTTCGTCTTGTTCTGCCGTGCAGCAGGAAGACGAAGGTCTGACTTATGTAAATAGATTTTTTCTCTCATACTCATTCCGTTCTCTTACTCTCTCCCTTGAGCTGTCATTCTGCCTAAAGGGTGAGAGTTGTTAATTGAAATGAGACTCCCAGGACTACATCCCCTTCCTTTCTTTGGGACGGAGCGTTTGTCGCCAGAACCATCCCTGAGTCATTTTGCAGAGACTTTCCTGATACGTTTAGACTACATGGTATCAGTCCCGCCCCTCTCAGAGGCACAAAAACTCTCTTCTGCAAAGCAGCTCTCTGCATTTGTTTCAGCAGAAGGAGGGTGTCAGCTGGTTCTGGAAGTACAGACTTAAGCAAGACCCAAGGTTCTACTCTGGCTTTTTCTATGCATAAAGAGCTCGTAAAAGTGAGCATGCCATCACCTTGATGGCTCAAAACTGTTGACTGACTGAGAATCACTCTTCCCTGAGCTCCGGCTTCATCTCCTGTTAGGTTTCTTGGATTGACGTTGCACAGAGTCTCCAGTTCCAGCATCTAAAAGTGTCTGTGCTAAAGCTTGTCTGTAATAAACATTTTGATAGGAAAAAAGTCTGTTCGCAGTAAAACTGTTGCATAACATTATGTTGTGGAAATGATTTGTCTTGAAACTGTGCCATTTACTTCTCCCCAGTTCCCCTAGATAACTCTCTTTGCCCCTCGCGTTATCGCAGTCTGATCTCCTTTCTCGTCTCGTTTTCCTCCACTGAGAACTTTCTGCAGCACCAGGACTAAGTATAGGGTGCTAAATCTAGATGTGCCCGTATCTTTTTCTCCTTTCTCCTTTCTTCTCCTAAAGTGATCATTTCTACCACTCACTTGGACTCTCTGCTACGATCGCTGTGTTTCAGAATGTGCGGCTGGATGGGCAGGACAGCTGATGCCGTTTGAAGGTACAGCTCTGAAAATCAGGCTGTAGCGGGTCCATTTTGTGCATTTTAGCCAATACTCTCCCTTTTCTGTCTTCCTTCCTGAGATGTTCTTCCCCTTTCCCAAGGTGGACTGCTGGCATTAGAAAGGTGGGCATCAAATCTGCTGAGGATCCCTGCATGGCAGCAGACGCATGGCTGCACATCCCGCGGGGAGCTAATTAACGTTTGTATGTTGACGGGTGCCCAGAGTCACGTGGGTGCCTTTGGTAGCTGAGTCCTTGTCGCTTTGGAACCAAATTCTGCTCTTGCTCACCATGCTAGCCTCACGTTGCTAACAGCAGTGAGGATACTGGCAGATTCCCTGTGGTGGAGCAAGGAACAGAATTTCTCCCCTGAACTAGAGGCCTATGACTTGAATGCTGCTCAGTCCCATGGCTGCCTCCCTCTGCTTAAATGCATCTTCTCTGAAGGGGAGCTGTTGCTGAGCAAGGGAGGACACAGTAGCGTTTGTAGGGTGAGGTCCTGAGCTGGAGTATGCAAGCATACCCCTTGGAATCACAGATCGAGAGGCCCAAGGACTTCGGCAGTGTGAGGTGCTCTTGGGATAAGCATAACACAGAGTGCAGCTGAGGTGAGGGGGGGCCTTTTCTGACCCATCTGTTTCTGTATGAGGCTGTCACCAGTCCTGTCACCTGACTAAGGCAAAACAGTCGGGCTCGTTAGAGGTTTGTGATTTGGAGTTTTCTGGTAGCTCAGACATTGAAGGCCAAGCTGTCACTCTTGAAGGTTAGCTAGAGTCACGATTCAGAATCAAGATGACCAAGCCCTTCCTGTCCTCCAAGTAGGCAAATGATGGGTTTTCTGTGATGATGTTTCTGAGGAAGGCTGTCTGCTCTGCTGAGGATTGCCTCCACCCACATCAGCGAGGAGTCTCCCATCTTCGCTGGTTTGCCACGCGCTTTGTGCTGGCTAGCTGTTGCCCTCCTCCCCAGAGCTGGCTGCGTCTCAGTGGGTGTTGTCCATGCCAAACACTGGAGGGGTCCTTTGGGGCAAAAACATGCTTTATCCACGTAAAATATCGATATGGCTTTTGACTTTTTTCAGCTTGAAATCCGTCGAGCGGACAGATTCTGGGAAGTACTGGTGCCAGGTTGAGAACGGGGGGAAGAAGGAAGAATCACAGCAAGTGTGGCTCATAGTGGAAGGTAAGGAGTAGTAGTAGTGCTGGTTTCCTTTCAGGGCTGACCCACCAATATGCTCTGGGTAGAAGTGGTGAGAGCAGATTGCTCCAGTGACAGACTTCTTGGCTCTGAACCATTGCTGCTCACTGCAGTGAGATCACTACAGAGCAGGAGTAAGAAATAGCAGGAGAGTAGCTTTAAGGAGAGGAGCTGTCAGTTTATTACCTTCTGGTTTTATTTTGGCACATTAGGAAACAAGTGACAGATCCTTTCATGTACATACATTTCTTTCCAGCCCCTCAGTCAGTTGTTGCTTTCGTTTCCAAACAGTTCATAGAATGATGGGATGGTTCAGGTCGAAAGGGATCTATGGGGATTGTCTGGTCCACCCTACTTCTCAAAGCGGGGTCACAGTCTGGTTCTATGTATCAGCCAAACAGGTCTTTGAGGGCAAGGTACAGTTTTAGCTCGATTCTGAGTTTCAGGAGAAGTGCTGTACATCAGTGCTTCATAGATGTGACTGTTCCATGTGGCACTGTTTTGCCCAGTCTTGTCTGATAAAGAATAACTTCTGCATGGTTGCCTGAAAGTCACCCAAGGCAGTGTGGATTGGTGGCCTCTTACTGTCTCTAGTTTCATTTTCCTTGAGCCATGATTGTGTTAGATCTTCAGAAGCTACTAGTCGTGGGATGGCTTAATGTTCGATGAGGAAGTTGACAGGAACAGTGCGTTTGCAGCAAGAAGTGGCTTTTTGAATGTAATTGGTAACATTTTGGGCCAGAGCTGAATCAACAGCTCCCCTTAGAAAGGGGGAGTGGGGAGGGTGTCAAGGGAGGTGGTGTGGTCTGGGTGTTTTACAGCAAAGATCTCACTCACTATGAGCCATGGAAACATTCATAGCAGTTGTCAAGGGAAGAGGAACGCTCTCCTGCCGCCTTCCATAAATCTCAGGCTTTTGTGCATCTAAATTATCAGGTTCAGTTTCAACTGGAGAATGTTGTTTATAGCTTAAAACATTCTCTATTGTGCAGAGTTTCTGTTTCTATTCCAATTACTGTGGCCCACTCCAGAGGTGGCTGCATTTGCATGGTAGGTGCATTAGGAGTGATTGGGTAGCTCAATGTGCTAAGCCATCTGAAAAACGAAGGAGCCCTCCTGGATAGCACAGGCAAGGAATATCAAAGTCACAAAAACAGCTGCATCTAGGTAAGGAGGAGTGTTGAGAATGAAGGGCAAAGCTTACAGTGGAAATGTAAGCTAAAAAAATGCAACTAGTCAACTTTGTGAGAAAAGCAAATACAACAGAAGCTACTTAAACTTGAACTGAGCATATAATCATGTGAAATGGGAGTTAGTGGAAATAATTAAAAAATAACAAGAAGGGATAAGGGGTGGATTTTTAAAAATGTGTCAGCTGTTAGCATGGAAAACACCAAGGAATGCAAAAGCATATCAGCCCCCCTGTCCCTGTTATCGCTGTATGTATTTCTTCTCTGGGTGTACCAGTTTTGTCTAGAAGTGGTTGCTGTATTTATAACAACCGTTGTCCTCTTTGACTGAGAGAGAATCTTTACTGTGGTCATTTGCAGCCTTCAGTAGGTGGTGACACCCTTCAGTGTGCCACACAAAATGACTGGAGTGCTGGTGATCTAGCTTAACGGGAGCTCGAACGGGTTTCTGTGCTGTCTAATATCTGCCTTGAGATCCACTTAGACGGTCTGTATCAGGCAGAATTTGTAGTAATGGTATTTGAACTGTCTTTGCAAGACAGCTAAAATGTTTGATCTTATGAAACACTCCTCAGAATTTACAAAACCAAAATTATTTTGAAACTGTTTTCTGGTTAGAAACTAGACTCTGGCCTTACCGAGAACATGATAGTGTTTGATGCCCAGAGAGGTAATCTAAGAGGCACACTGCGGAGTGTGACCACCTGAAAAATACGGATTATGTTTCTTACAGAACTTTCCTTCTGAAATTACACCTCTGACTGTGCAGCTGTTCCTGGGGCTGCTAGCTTTTTCCACCCCCCCAGCCACACCTGGATGGACGCGTGCCCCTAAATTAACACTGTCTAAAAGCTGAGCTGTAGAAAAGAAAATCGGCCCCATAGGTTGAGAGAGGCTCATTTCCTTGCTTTGACACTGATTTCCTGGCTGTTGGCTGCTCAGTGCCTCCATGGTGCATCTGTGAAAGGGGGGTGCCAGCACTTGTTTCTTGTACAAGGAACTGGGAGGCTAAATGTGTCCCAGACAGTGAAGTATCCAGGTGTAACATACGTATGGGGGCAGTGCAAGTTCCTGAGCTGGATGAGTCAGCTGCACTCCCTGAACCATGAGAGTTTTTAATTGTGATCTTGTCTGATCTGGTTAGCTGCTCCCACAGTGAGAAAACCTGTTGAGCTGGGCAGGATGCTCCCGAAAGGTTACCTTCGGTGCCATGGCAAAGGGACGGGAGGCAGGGATCCTGCTGACAGGGAGAAGGGACGATGGTATTTTCCCTTCTAATCTTCCTTGGAGAAGGAGGGCAAAGCAGGTGAAGGTGTCCGCAGCTGGTATCTGGAAAGTTTATTCACTTGTATTGTTTATGTATGACTGCAATAAAAAAATAAAACATGTGAGCAAACACCAGCAGTAAATCGTGATATTGTATATACCTGTCCTGAGCATTAGCCTTTGTACAGATAGGCACCATCATTCCTAAAGTGACCTATTTTTAGACATGTTTTAGTTCGTTCATTTACTTGCCACTCTAAAGGGAGTGGCAAGGAGGCAAGGAAGGCACAAAGAAACTGCCACCTGAAAGACACAAACAGCAACTGGACGGTCAGTGAAAGTGTGAGGACATCACTTTCAGCTGGAGCGTAGGGGAAATGCCAAGCCTTAGGCTTCTAAATCCCTATTTAGGCACCTACATTAATGGCCTGCTGTTGGAGGTGCTCAGCATGTGCCAACACCGCTCGGGCCCGTCATCTTTGGCCAGGGACAGATAGTGTAATTTAAGCATGTAAATGCACAGTGTTGTTGGTTCCTCTGTTTCTGTGAGCTGGCAGATTAGCAGTTTCCAGAACACATTTTTTCCAGCTGACACTGCCTAATTTTGATGTAGACGCAGTCAGTAGTGGCTGTGCTCGACATCCAAAGTTTTGAGTGTATAAGGGAACTCAGCATTTCTCTGGACCTTCAGCTCTTCCACCAGCCACCAGAAGCGCACGCCAGCTGTCCTGCAGGGTCAGCACCCGTGCTGATGGCTGGAGAATTTTGTGTTACTGGTTTGGAGTGCTGAAACAACAAAAGTTTTGGCATTGCCCATAAGAGGAACCGCATCTCTTGATGTGTTGAGTTACGCTCAGCTGTTGCCATGTAGAGATGACCTGAGGTAGTTAGCATTGCAGCTGCATTTTGCTCCTTGTGAATCTGATCTAAGGCCTGTTGTACCGAGCAGGAGTCTTTCCACAGTGGAGAACAGATAGTTATCAAGAGAGTTGTGTCCATGGATAGCCTTCAGCTCTGAAACAAATTACCCCTAACTCCAAGGCAGCCTGGTTCTTGTGGTGTCGGAGCATGCTGGAAGATGGCTCCAGACAATTAAGCTGTGGAGAGAGCATTGTAAAAGATCCCAGTCTATCACCTGGGGGATTCTTTTTTCATTCGTGGATTTGTTACAGCCACCAGTTCAACACATTCACAGGCTTCAGTTTTTAATGCATAGCAAGAAGTATCTGCAGCTGGATTAGGTATCTTTTAAAGTGATGTCTGCCACCACTAAAGTTATCGACTGTTGCCTGTTTAAACTCCAGTCTCTCCAGTTGAAAAATTGAGCAAATACTGCCACTGAAAGCTACTTCATAGTGGAGTCTTGAAGGAAACTCATTCAAAGCCATTTTGGGAAGCAAGCACTCTTTTCTTTCTGACTTCTAGTGGGAGTATGTAGACGTTCATGCCCTGAGGTGATCCAGCATATCTGACCCTTGGTTCTTGTGAAGGCATTGGAGAGAGTCAGATTAGGCAGAGAAGCAGGGCAGGTGAGTGTCCAGTGTTGGGCACTGGTATTAGTGGAAATAAACAAGAGACAGAAGGAGTCTCTCCAGTTGTTATCACTTGTCTGTTGCTTTTCTAGGTGTGCCCTACTTTACTGTGGAACCTGAGGATGTGTCCGTGTCCCCTAATGCCCCATTTCATATGGCCTGTGCTGCTGTTGGTCCCCCTGAACCAGTGACAATTGTCTGGTGGATGGGAGACTCTAGAGTGGGGCTTCCAGACATCTCCCCCTCCATCTTAAATGTGTCAGGTAAGGCTGCTGCCAATGCAGGGGATCACTTTGAGCATCAGAAGAGAAGGAGAGCTCTCTTCTGATCATGCCTAGTGACATGGGGTAGCCACATTAGTGTGAGAATGGTCTTTCACTGTACATTGAGGGCTGAGAAATCGTGATCACATACAAAGCCAGATTATTTTGAGGGGTGATCGTTGCTCTGTGTATATTCTGCTGTCTTGAGGCGCATAGGCTCTTCAGAGCTTGGATGGGGCTGGCACTGTGGTAAAGATACTACTGGACAGATGATGCCTTGAATGCCTCTTTTGTTCCACCTCATGGAGAGTGTTCATGGCTGTATTGACTCTGTTAGAGACATTTGGCTTGGAAATCTCCAAGCACTCACATGTAACAGATGCCACCTCCTCCTTCTTTGCGTAGCCATGTCACGCACTGCTTTCTCGTCTCTTCCCCTCCATCGCTGTTCTTGCAGGCTTGCTGGATGCTCTTATCATTAAAACCTGGCCACCTCATCCAATTGTTTGACACTTTTAGAGTGGTTGTATTGGTGCTGAAGTGGGCTAGTTGTTATCCTTAGAGACCAAGTTTTGCTCCAGCTCAGGCACTAGGTGCATGGTGGTAAGACTGCCTTCCCCAGTAGCATCAGCTGAAGAACACAGGAGTTAGTAGTAGGTGTTGAGGCCTCGCTCCCGCACACTTTCTGGGAAGGGGCGATGTATCCCTACCAAGACCTGACCACAGCTATTCTTGTAGTTACCTCCTAAAGATAACTTTGTTCTAGTTAGTTGTCCAACGGCTTTGTGTTACTTCTTCTCTTTGCTGCTCTTTTAGTACTCTCGGCAGCCCTGAGCCAAAGTTGAACTAGCTAGTTAGAAGGAGAAGGTTTTACGACTCAGTCATCTCTGGGGCCTCTTCATTGGTGTTAATACGGTTACACCCAGGGGGAGTTTCTTTCTGTACGTCTTTGGTCATCCTTTGAGCTATCCAATCCTGTTACGCCTTCCCTTAGAACCTAATTTATATGTAAATAAAAACCTGATTTGTGATTTGCAGTGGTTTTATCATCTACTCCCTCTCTTACGTAGCCACTCAGTGCTGTTCCAAGTTGGAAATGAAAACTGCTCCCTTATGATATAATCTGCCTGTTGAAATGGAAACTGAAGAGATTGATAGTCGAGAGGGGAAAGACAGTAAAAAAATAAGTCTCCCTTCCTCCACTGAACTCATCCCTCGGTGTCTCACAAAACTTCTGTTGTTGTGGGCCAGTTGCATAAGGGCCTGAAGAAGGACAGCTGCTCCTAGTGATTCTTGAAATGAATTGCTATTATATGTATTTGTCACCAACACCTTTCTTTGCCCCTTTCAGTGTTCTTTGGCATGTCCCTTGGGCAGATCTTGTCTTTGCAGTGAAAATAATGTAGCAGGACACAGTCAGATTGCCAAAGCATGTCAAAAAAGACAGCTGGTAAGAAAACAAGCATTGCTAGCTAAAGAAAGTATCAAATTCTTAGGAAAATGATGATAAAGTACTGGCTAGAAAGCAAACATTTAGAAGGTTTGGTAGCAGTTGGTTTGGTAAAAGGTTTGTTGTGTTTGGAAAGCAGTGCTGGCAACAGTACTAGAGAGTAAGGAGGTCTTGGTTTGTGGTGTGTTTTGTGTTTTCCTCAGGGCAGGGCTGTGTTTGGTTCTGTTTTTGGGACATGTCTACCACGTCAGGTACTGCTCTGCTCTTCTGCCTGGCCTTCAGCCTGCTGGCAGCATTTTCCTCTGCTTCACTAGGGTGAGTGGAAGAAGCTAAAATGCTTTGCTCTTTCATTTTATAGCAGTCCCTCCTCTCTTCCACTACACCATCTTTTCAATATTGTTAATCTCAGGCTTGGGAGGTGAATCAAAGGGCAAAGACAGACACAGTGCAAGCTGCTCCATGCAGCTCTGAAGTCTTTTTTCCTCCTAAACTGTATGCCCATAGTGTGCCAATCCTTGACTTTTCTCAGATAGAGCCTTATAAGGCAACCGAAGGCCAAGTTGTGTGAAAACATATGCTGGACACACTTGTCCAGGCAGCTTTGCAAATCTGTCTCAATTCTGATTAATCAGCCATACCTGTATGCATCTTGGAGCATCTGGACATCAGTATGATGCCATGTTCAGGCCCCATGAGATGGGTCACAGAAGAAAGTGGGCATAATCCTCACTTGCATTGTGCCACCCCTGGAGCAGCTCTGTGCTGATGCAGTAGCATTTTACTTCCACTTCCTTTGCACGTCTTCACAAGTCTGATGCAAGGTGAGGGACAGGTCAGCTTTAGCTCGAAATCTGCAGCGTCTGTTTGGAAATTTGCCTGGGCTTATAGCCTGGTTAGAAGATGGTTGTTGCTCAGGTGACAGGCTGAGGTCCAGAGCATTGAGTGTTGTATAAGCACACAGTTCAGCACGATCCTTTGCTCAAAGACGGTCACTAGAAAGTGAGAAATGGACATCTTCTAACTGAGCACTATGAGCTGCTGTTCTGCCAGATTCATCTTTCTTTTTCAATGCTTTCTGAAGTGCCCTTGGAAGCTCTTCTACATTGCCATACTCCCTCCATTAAAAATGTGTTTAGCACGTTAATTACATTGACATTCACATGCCTTTGATTGGCATCCATCTCAGCCCTCCAATTGCCTGCTTGAGCTTGAGCTGGATTGCACACATAATTGAAATTCTGCTGAAGGTTGAAGCTGGATTATATAGCTGTTTGTGTTTCCTTTCCTTTTCTTGGCTGATCTCTAGGTATTAATCAAAGCACAGTTTTCTCCTGCGAAGCTCACAACGTAAAGGGATTGTCTTCATCTCGGACAGCCACTGTTCAAATTAAAGGTGAGAGAGTGCAAGAGAGTGGGCAAGGGACTCGGGTTTGCTCTCTGGGGAGGGAAAGTAGGGCTCCTTCATGCAAAGGGCTGTCTCAAAGCTGCCAGCAACCAGCACTGGTTGGAGCTCTCAGCAGCCGAAACAATACTTTGTGCTCTAACAGCAGTTGCTGCTTGCTATGCAGGGCTGTATCCCAGGCTGTTGAAAATAAACCACATCTGATTCAGGAGTGGAAATGTGATGTCAAATAACAGGTTTTGAAAAGGAGAGTCAGAGCAGTCAAATTGTTTGTGAGAGATGAAGCTGGATACAAATCCGTAGCTGGGGAAATCTTTCCTTCTTGGAGATAGATGGATCTTGTTAGAGCTAAAGAGGCATTTACCTCTGCTTGCTTCTATTGGCTTCACATTTGATGCTGAAAAAAGACAAGGAAGGCGATCACCAGTGGCTGGTAAAGTCCGCTCATCCACACTGTTTTTATGGATTTTAATTTTTTTAATTCTTTGCTTTTTAAAAACTCGTTCAAGACAACTAATTCTTAGCCTTTGCATGACCAGTTGCCATTTGGAAGTCCCTAAGTTGATGTCATGTTCCTCTGTTCCTCCAGGTGACTGAAACAGGGATAATCGGAGCAATCAGCTCTTCCCCTCCTCTTCATGTTGAGATGCTTCTGCATTCGAATTTTTAGACATGCTTTAATGCACATTAAATGACATTATCAGTTCCAAAAAAGGCATGTCACAAAAATCTTTTGTTCCAAGTGGTAGCTTATTGCTCAGCATGAGTAAGAGCAAGCATTTATGTCTGTATCACAACTCAGAGTTGTATTAGCTAATATTCATTAAAGGATAGCTTAAAATCCAACTGTAGATCTACCGCTCTTACAGTGTATTTTTCCTTAGGACATTGTGGTTACTGCTATGCCAAAAATGCAGTATGCTGGAGTAGTAAGATTTATAACTTAATTTAAAAGCATTTGGAGTTGTTGCCTTAAAGGCTTGTCTACGCTGGGGAATTAGTTATTGTGGAATATATCTTCTATGGATACTTTTATCCTGAGATGGAATTTAGTTCACAAAGCTATTATGCTTTAAAAAAGAAATCTCATCCAGCTGTATTTTGAAATAACATTTAGTATAAACAAGCTTTTTTCTTTTTTTTAATGTTAACACAGATTTATTTTTTTTTTAACCGTTAATAAGATCATGGGGTAAAGGCCTCAGTATTCTCGCGTTTCCCGGCAATCACGTTTAGCCAAAAGCACTCCACAGGGGTCGATCATCAGCTAATGAATCCATACAACCTATTTGGGAGGGATGTACCACTGTCACACACTTGTGCATGCACATACACACATTTTTTAGAGCTGAGGAAGAGCAAGTTTAGCTGATTCGGCAAATGTTGCACCAGTATGTGGCATGTCCTAGAGATAAAAACCAGATTTTAAATAGCAAATTCAGGGCTATAGTAGTAAAAGTTCTAACTGTAATACCTCAAAGATATGTCTAAAAGAGTAGCTGTAAACTTAGGGAAGTGATGAGGCTCTTCTGAAGAGCAAAAGTTTTGAAGATCTCGTACAGCCTCTGTTAAAATTAAAGCAAAGCTCCTAGCAAGGACATCAGCAGCAACAGGAGCAGGCCCAGATAATGTTTATTTAGTCCTCGATCCTATGAATATGTAGACTTCAATTAAATTACTCCTGGGAGTAGTTGTCTGTACATGCATGATCAGGGCCTTCTTCTCTTACACAGATCCATCTGCTAATGAGGACTCTCAAGTCTTTCTACCATTTATTAAACAATTTGTCTCTTCTGTGTTTGCAGAGGCAAATATTTTTGCTAGGACATTTACAAACTTAACATTTCTTCCTATTTGCTGCTGTTGTTGTTCATTATCTATTCTCTGTAGTGCCCACAATGTGTTGGGTGTACTCCAAGCAGAAAATTACCGTTATTGTACCCCACAGTCCCCAGCCGAGTACAAAGCCCCATTGTTCCAGCCACTCTACAAGCACTGAGGAAGTTAACTCTCATTATGTTAACAGTCAAGGTCCGGTTTTCAGACTGGCTTTGCTCTCCTTCATGTGTGCAGCTAAGACTTTTAGGGTCATATCCTATATTTCAGAGCACGACAGGAAGCAGCCACCGAGACTTTTTTCCCAACGCATGATGGGGAAATGCATCTTTCCCTTCTGCAAATTGCAGAGTTAGGGAAAGGTGCTAGCAAGACGACTCTCTTCAATAGCTGTCTCCATTACAGAGTGGATGTGTTAGCAGTTGATTATTTACTCTCACTGGTGGTATAGCCCTAAAGGATGCCTTTGGGCCTGCTATCCAGTGTTGAAAATTACATGTAAATGTAATTTTAAACCCGAAAGTTACGGGTGTGTTTATAGAAGACTTGAGTTAAGGGCAATGTTTTAGTGAAAGCAAGCTTTTTCCTCCAAAGAGCTTAGAAACCTGAATATCCAATGTCAAAAGGGAAAGAAACCAAGACACAGAAAAGTCTTAAGTTAACTCAAAGACCTTTCACTGAAAGACAAAAAATTCATTGCCCATCTTCCATCCCAGGCCTGTGCTCTGCTGCCCCACCTCCCTCCTGCACACACTGTTATTATCTAGATGGCAGCCCCATACCCTGAGTCCTGGTAACTAGTTAATCAGACAACAAAGGCTTTATAGGATTAATCTGCAGCACCATCTATTCCCTGCGCCATCCTCTCCTCTCTGGCCTCTGTGGAGACCTGGGAGGGGGCTTTGGTCTAAGCATTTCTTCTGTGAGATGGGGTTTTTAAAACGAGTAAAAGGTCAGAGGAGAGGTTAGTATTCATGAATCATAGAATCATAGAATGGTTAGGGTTGGAAGGGACCTTAAAGATCATCTAGTTCCAACCCCCCTGCCATGGGCAGAGAAATCCTCCACTACACCAGATTGCCCAAAGCCTCATCTAACCTGGCCTTGAACGCTTCCAGGGATGGGGCATGAAGCTGGTAATTTTTTCAGGAGGGAGGTGCTTAAATAAAAACAGGCTCAGGAGTGAAAAAGAGATGGTGGGGGTGTATTGGGATGAATAGGAAGTAACTATGTGGAGTTACAGTGGGAAGAAAAGAGAAGACAAAGGGGAGCACTGAGGATCCTAAAAGGAAGCCAAAGAGCTCAGGTTAATGCTACAACATCCAAGAGGCCCCTGCAGTGATGGAGGTGTTTGGTCAGAACAAGAGCAGAGGGGCAGCGCTCTGGTGCAGCTCTGTTGGTGGTAGGAAGCACAAACATCTGATTAAATGGCCGGTCTGAGAATCCTGATTTTGTTCCTGTCTGTGCCCTTAATTTGTAGTGTGGTATGAGCCATGTAACAGGCACTGCCTTTGCCTTGAATTGCCCTTCTGTAACATAGAGCACTTTCTGAGTTTGTTCATCCCAAGCCTGAAGGAGGCACCGTTTTCAGTCCAGGCTCCATCCCGGGGTGTTTTAGGAAGAGTTTGTGCTGGGCACCTGGAGGCTGCAGGGTAGTGGGATCACTACAGTAGTACTTCGACTGGCGCTGGCAGAGGTGGTTTCGGAGGCTGGGCTGAGAACCAGGAGAGGGATATCAAAGCCCTGATTTGGTTCACAATGTAGGTCCACAGGCAATTGTGTGCACGGGGCTGGGTCATTCGTTGCAATGGAGGGGGCAGGGAAGAGGGCTGAGTAGCAAAGGTGTAAACATCACACCTTGGCATTGCTATCAAAGAAATCAACTGCTGCCTGTATGCATCAGGCAAGTATGCTGGACTGTTAAAGCATGGATGCTGATAGCTTGTTCAATGTTAAAATAATAGTTTCATTCACAGCGGTCAGGGACACTCTCTAAAGATGTGATATTGTACCATTTCTGTTAGTGATTTCATTGCAAAGCTTCTACCATTTCCATGTGAATACCTGCTCAGTCCTGTGTATACTGAAAGGTCTCTTTGTTTCCTTTATAGCCATGCCTCTCCAGCCTCTCAATGTAACTGTAAGCCAAGTCACCAGCAGCAATGCCAGTGTGGTCTGGGTGCCAGGATTTGATGGCCGTGCACCCCTCCATTCTTGCACTCTTCAGGTATGGCCCCTCTGGATTGTCCTCTGCCTTGCATGAAGAATGGGACCCCGCTGAGCCATGACGTTGCTTGAGCCATCTTCTGCTCTTTTCACTGCTTTGTAGCCATTTTTGAATTCTCATTCCACAGTTTTAAAACATGGAAACTTAACAAGATGCAACTCAAGGCATATATAGGTGCTAAAGAGCAGGGAGTGAAGTTTTGAGCATGAAGTGTCAGTTGAGAATTTGAGACTGGCCGCATTCTCCCTCCCAGCAGGCCTTCACATCAGTTGCTCCATGGCAGCTACTCCATGCAGAGTATTACACTGCAGCACATATGAAGCACGTATCACTCTATGGGAAGTGCCCTTGAACAGCTGCAGTGTGCTCGCGTGTCATGCTATCGTGGAGCAGCTGGCCCACGGTAACTTGTTCCAGTGCAGTGGCCTGTCACTCCCATGTCAGCTCAGCCCTGTGCTTTTTGATGCCAGAGGAAATGCTGGGATCCGGACATACCAATGAGCCCAAGGGATGAGAAGCTTGCAAAGAGTAGGATGTAGTACAGGAGAAGTGGGAATGATGGAGGCAGAAGACAGATTGGGCTTTTTGATACAAAGTCAGGCCTATTTGCATGTTTCAGAGTAATTTTAAGCCCTACCTCTAAATCTTGGTTGGTTTTCCATTGTCAAAGACCAATTCTGCCCAGGAAATCAAGGGTTATAATATCCTTTAGCTATTCTGGGTGCTGAGTACTCAACATCTCTGAAAAATTGGACTGCTTTTTTAGGTTCCTGGGAACAATGGTATGTGGCCAACTTCAGGCAGAGTTAGTTTCTAGCATTGTACCCTTAAATATAAAATCAGATCAAACAGCTGGTAACTGAGCGTCAAAAAGAAATGGTGATTCCTGAAGCAGGCCATGCAAACACAGCTAGGCACATTCCCCATGGATTTATTTGCCAGGTGTGAATATTGGGCCCCTATGCTTTACCTACCTGATTACGGCAGCAATGTGAGCTGGAGTGGAATTTCTATGGAGTGTTGCCAACTATGTAGAGGAGGATTATAAACACAAGGTATACTGGAAGCAGCCTAATTTACTTGCAGTCCTCTTTTTATTTGGAGAGGAAAACAGAGATTTCATGCCCTGATATTTATTCCCTCTCATAAGTAAAAGATATTACCATCTTGTTTTTACTCACTGGCAGAATGAATGCCTGAATATAGCTGGCTCCAGTCTCTGGGTTTTGTTTCTGCTTCTGTTCTTGTTCGCAGTCAAAAATGGTTTTCTTCCTCTGTTTTACAAGGCGAGTTATCTCCAGTTGGAACAGACTATTCTCTCTGGCTTGCATGCTGCAATGCTAATCACCCTGGGTTTTTGAGTTCCCCCTCAGACTTTTGGCAGGGGCAGGAGTGGGGGGGATGGGACATGTGGAAAAGAAGCTGAATCAGAGCAGCTCAGTTTCTGTCCTCTCAGCATTCTCTCACCCCTTTTCTAAGCCTTTTCTGTTCTATTTGGAGAGGATGAAGTTCCTGCGTTTGGACGTGGGAGCAGGGTAACTTGGCGATAACCCTCCACTGACAGAAAGCTGTACTTCCTCGTCTCCCACATTGAGAGATTTTGTGAGAGACATTGACCCACATTTCCATGTGAAAATGCACACGCTCCTGGCTCCCCAGGATTGCATTTTGCTCAGAGCCTCCCAGAAAGAGAAGGAGGATTGAAACTTGGCTGTGGTTTTCTGGCACTTCAGAATTGCAGCGAGTGCCCCAAGAGCACCATGGTCAGATTGGTAGATTGCTTCTGGGGACAGGGTAGGAAATCGCCATGTTCACTGACTGTTAACACAAGCCATGTTCCAGGCCATAGAGGGGACAGATGTAAAAGCAGCAACTCTTCAGACTGTTGAACAGAAACACATCATCAAACTGACGGGGTTTTACACAACAGTCTGCTTGTTTTTTCCCTTCTTTAGATGACACCGATAATGACAACAGTATGCTTTTCTATTAAGGAAACTTGAGATTCTTCCTTTTTATTAGACAAATAAATCAGTTGGCCAAAAGTGTGTGTGAGAATGAGCAGAAGTCAGGGAGAAAAGGAGAAGGATGGCTATATAAAGAATATAAAGTCCACATGAGTGTTTCGCTTTTGTCAGTACATCTTGCTTTTACTCCCAGCTCTGCTATTTCAAATGCACTTGAGAAGAAAGACAGGCTGAGCCTGGGAGCTATCCAGTAATTTCTGCTATTGTCAGTACAAAAGCGGGAACGCGGAACCTGTCTGTGCATTAAAAGCACACAGTGATACCAGATTTAAATTAACATTCACGTTGCTTAAAAGTTCAGATTTGAAAAAAAGAAGGGTTGCAGGAGTGATAAAAGTTTCTTTTCAGTTTAATTTGAAACAGTTTAGTTGAACCAAGTTACCAGTGTCTACCACGTCTTTAATCCACTACAAAACTGAAAATATAGAAACTTCTGAAAAAGGAGTTGAGAAAAAGGTGACACTAGGCAACAGGGAAGCTGATCTACTGATTTTCATTGCTCAAATTTAGACAAGCCTCAGGAGCCAGCCTCTAGCACTCAAAGCAACAAGCACATTTAGTTTTCTTTAAAGGAAATAATAAACAACTGTAGAATTTGTAACATAGGTAAGGAAATGTTTTAAAATATGGAACCAAATTTTCAGCTGGTGGAGAATTGTTGTACTGCCTGAGTTAGGAGAGTGATGTTACTTAAAACAGATAAAGGCATGGTTCAGGATTCTTAGTGTTACAACTCCCTTTTCAGTATTTTAAACATCACTGGCACCATATCTATTTTTGCACGTTCCTAAACTAACCATGAAGTAGATTCTTATCCCTATGGACCTGTTAGTCATATGGCTTATGGTAAGTCTTCTCCGTTCATTCTTGGCACAGGTAGCTGAGTCACCAGACGGCCAGGAGGTCTCCACTGAAGTCAGCCCGGTGCCGCCTTTTGCCTACGACATGCAAGGCCTGAAGCATTCCACCAACTACAGTGTTCGTGTGCAGTGCAGCAATGAGATGGGCAGCTCCCCTTTCACCGACAGGGTTTATTTCCAGACCCTAGAGCTTGGTAAGCAAATAGCAGACAAGAACAGGAAAGCAGTTCTGAATCTGAAAAAGAGACAATGATGACCTTCATTGAATTCTTCCTTGCTAATTCTGAAATGCAGGAAATGTTATACTGTCAGATTGTTTGTCCACTCTAAGGATCTCCTGACACCTAACATAAAATAATGGAGGACTGTCTCCCGTGGGAGGGACCCTGCTCTGGAGCCAGGGAGGAGTGTAAGGAGTCCTCCCTCTGAGGAGGAGGGAGCAGCAGAAACAACGTGTGATGAACTGACTGCAACCCCCATTCCCTTTCCCCCTACACCGCTTGGTGGGGAGGAGGTAGAGAAATCGAGAGGAAAGCTGAGCCTGGGAAGAAGGGAGAGGTGGGGGGAAGGTGTTTCTAAGGCTTAGTTTTATTCCTCATTATCCTACTCTGATGTGATTGGTAATGAATTACATTCATTTTTCCCCAAGTCGAGTCTGTTTTGCCCGTGACCATAGTTGGTGAGTGATTCCTCCCTGTCCTTGTCTTGACCCTTGAGCCTTTTGTTGTATTTTCTTCTCCCCATCCCACCAGGAGGGAAGGAGTGAGGGAGCAGGTGCGTGGTGCTTAGTTGCCAGCTGGACCTACACCATGACAGAGGTTCTTGGGGTCTCAATAAGAAATGAGAGAGGCTGACCAACTTTATCTTCTCCACTTGAAGCAAACATAGTGCTGGTGGCTTGCAGAAGTTCTTCTCTCCCCTCACACTCTCTCTTCTGGCTGATCTCAGGAAAGAGGATGAAACTGTCTCTTGAGCCATTTTCAGTGTGAGTAGTGCCTTATTTTCCTGCACAGAGTGATTTTGTACTGTCTTCTGGTTTCAGCTCCAAGCAGCACTCCACAAAATATCCATGTTATCCAAAGAGATCCTGGTCTGATTTTGGAGTGGGAAGGTGTGGCTCCAGATGTGCTGAAAGAAAACATCCTGGGATATAGGCTGGAGTGGATTCAGGATAATGTAACTCAGGTAACAGATTGAGAGGGGAGCTGAGCCATTTGGCACAGAGTTACAGAATGTTCATATTAAGTTTTCTAGGTGTTAGGGTCTCTCATCCTTTATCCATACCAGGGGACTAGATTGCTGGCATTGCTTTTCTGTAAATGGATCTATTCTGATTTGCAACAACTCCTCAGTATTTGGCCTCAAAATTTAGGCCTATTTCTCCCTTCCTGGCATACTCAGAATTCCTTCACTGGAATGTTCATCTGCAGACAGACCAGTTCTCTGCCATTCCTTGTACAACAAGAACAACACAGAGAGAATTCAGTTTGTCTGTGCCTCTTTATAGTGCTGTCCCAAAGGCAGCTCAGACAGTGCAGGATCTGGGCTTTCACTCCTCTGTGACTGGGACTTAGCTTTCCAAATCCTATCAGCAAAGGTGTATTTAACAAGTGAATGAGTTTTACTGTAAATTGGAATAAGAAGGTTGCAGATTCTTTTAGTTCATTTACAATAGGTAGGGAGTTGAAAGGACCCTGTCAGGGTAGAAAGCCTTTCATTTGTTCTTCAGCATTGACCTTTGCCAGATATCTATCTGCCTTTGAAGTTCACAGTGTTTCTTATGGTTTCTCATTTCTTAATATGTATTTAGCCAGTGCTTATTAATGATGAAGAAGCCTGTAATAATAGACAGCTGTCGGTTTTTGCATGACCTATTTCGTACTAGGTCAGTGTCATTGACTTTGAATGACAGTATTTTGAGTTCCCATTAAATTTACATTGTGTCAGTGGTGGCAGCCAAATCTTGATGGGTTTACTGCAAATGGTGTGTATGAAGCATATCCACAAAATTACTGAAAATATCTTGGCCTTGCCATCCTGAGTGAAAATTTGCCATGAAATTCAGAAGCCATTTAAGATTTGGTCAACAAGTTGAGACAGGCTCACTCCTCCCTTGAATTAAAACTGTCAGATGCTTTGCAGTATGTTAGCACATCATTGTGTTTAAACCACAAGAAGGAGACGTATCTTTTAATAGCAGAAAAAGCCCTATTTCTATGGCAACTTTCATGGAAGGACCTCAAAGGAGGAAATCATTAAACCTCATTATCTTCCTTATGCCCTGTGAAACTATTAGCAATTTTTGAGAAGAGAAACCCAAGATGACAGCCTAAGTTAGTGGCAAAACTGAGACTAGGAGCCAGGAGCCACAACTCTCAACCCTTGTTATAGCACCAATGAAGTACACAGTAATGTTTTGGGGTTTTTTAAAGGTGAAGTTTTAGACTAGATTCCCTTTAAGACAGTTTACGGTTTGTTGCCATTTGCTCTCAGGGGGAGATGATCGTACAGGACACAAAAGCTAATCTCTCAATGTGGAATCCTCTCAAAGACTTGATCATCAGGGTGTGTGTGCTGAACTCTGCAGGATGTGGGCCCTGGAGTGACCTCTTCCTGCTTGAAGCCCAAGAAGTCATGGGTGAGTGTCCACTGCCTTCCCTTCACCTTGGGGAAAAAGAACTGGTGGGACTGCCGTTTTTCTCTGACTCTTCTCCTTTCAGTGCTTGCAGCTGACTGAGCCACATGGCTTTATAAAACAGCATACTTCATCAAGCAGAGTAGAAACTAAATAATATTTAAAGAGCTGGTATAAACAGAAAAGCTTCTGGCCACTACTGTGTCTTCTTTAACAGGCTTTTGCTGTGCTTAGTGCAAAGCAGGGCAAGGGGGGACACAATAGAAAAGGTGCAAATGAAGGTTTGAAATCCTTCATTTAGGCTTAAGCCATACACATTTACAATAGCAAATGTAAGAGAAAACTCCTCTAACGTAGGTTCTCCTCTTTGATTTAATTTGAAGCCATTCCTGACTTGTTTCAGTTGAGATTGATTTAAACCATGGCCACATGGGGTTTTGTAATGTTTTTACTGAACGTGTTTATATTAAACCAGTTCAGTGCCTTCCATGGAAAAGCTGAGCTGCTGGTAGAAGAGGGAGGTGAAAAGAGCCTGCAGGGCTATGATGTTATTGGCATCACAGAAACGTGGTGGGATGAATCCTATTACTAGGGTGTCAGAATGGAAGGATACAGGCTCTTTAGGAAGGATAGGCAGGGGAGACGAGGAGGAGGTGTCGCCCTCTACATCAGTGACCAGCTGGAGTGCATGGAGCTCTGCCTGGGATAGATAAGGAGCTGACCGAGACTTATGGGTCAGAATAAAAGAGAGGGTAGGGACAGGTGACATTATAGTGGGGGTCTGCTAGAGGTCACCCAACCAGGAAGACCAAGAAGATGAGGCCCCTTATAGACAGATAGAAGCAGCCTCATGTTCACGAGCTGTGGACCTCATGGGGGACTTCAACCACCCTGATACCTGTTGGAGGGAAAACACAGCAGAGCATAAGCAGTCCAGGAGGTTCCTGGAATACATTAATGATAACTTCTTTCTCCAAGTGATAGAGGAACGAACGAGGAGAGGTGCTTTGCTGGACCTTGTTTTCACCAACAAGGAGGGGCTGGTGAGGAGTGTGAAGCTCAAGGGCAGCCTTGGCTGCAATGACCATGAAATGGTGGAGTTCTAGGGCCTTAGGGTGGTGAGGGGAGAGCACAGCAAGTTCACTACCCTGGACTTCAGGAGAGCAGACTTCAGCCTCTTCAGGGATCTACTCAGTAGAGTACCATGGGATAAAGGCCTGGAGGGAAGAAGAGACCCAAGAAAGCTGGTTAATACTCAAGGATCACCTCCTCCAAGCTCAGGAGCAATACATCCTGGCAAACAGGAAGTCGAGCAAAAACGCCAGGAGGCCTGCATGGATGAACATGGAGCTCCTGGACAAATTCAAGCACAGAAGGGAAACCTACAAAGGGTGGAAGGAGGGACAGGTAGCCTGGGAAGAATACAGAGCAATTGTCTGAGCAGCCAGGGATCAGGTTAGGAAACCTAAATCCCTCCTAGAATTAAATCTGGCCAGGGACATCAAGGGCAACAAGAAAATCTTCTGTAAGTACATCAGTGACAAAAGGAGAACTTAAGGAAAACGTGGGCCCTCTCCAGAAGGAAACAGGAGATTTGGTTACCCAGATGTGCTGGGTTTACGGGAGGGACTATGGAAATGGCCCCTGTAAGTAGCTGTGAAAAGCTTCCTGGCTCCAAAACCGGTTGGAGCAGATCGGACCCCCCATCCCCTCAGGCCATGGCTGAGCCAATCAGTGCCTCTGCGAATGCCATATTTAAGATGGGGACAAAGGAGCCTGGACTGAGGCTGGACCTACACTGAAGAGATGAGAGGCAGGGGACTGGCCCCCGGCTTCCTGGGCAGGTGGCTGCCCATGCCGGGCCACTGCTACCTGACTGGAGATGGCTGCAGCAGCACAGCTTGGAGAGCTCCCAGAGCACCTGACTTCTGGGGTGCCCACTGGACGGAGCTCGTCCTACCGGGTCTGCCGAGGTTCGGCATGGCTGCAGCAGAGAGGACTGCAATGTGAGAGAAACAGCCACTCAGACAGCAAGTTCAGTGAAGATGGTGTGGGAGGAGGTGTGCCGGAGCTGGGATTCCCCTGTAGCCCGTGGTGAGACGGCAGTCAGCCTGTGGAGACAGCCCCTGCCACCCATGGATGTTAATGGTGGAGCAGAGATCCACCCACAGCCTATGGAGAAGCCCATGCTGGAGCAGAGATACCTGTGCCTGAAGGATATCGTGGAGAATGGTCTCCATAAGCAGCTGGAGACTTAGGACAAGGTGGAGAGGCATCTGAAGCCTGTGGAGAACCCCATACTGGTGCAGGTGGCAGCTCTCTAAGAAGCCGTGACTCTGTGGGGAAGAAGCTCATGCTGGAGCAATCTGGTGGGTAAGTATTGCATCCTGCGGGAAGGACTCACGTTGGAGAAGTCTGTGGACTGTCCTGTGAGGAGGGGATCCATTGGAGCAGGGGAAGAATATAAGGAGGCATCTTCCTTTAA